AGGGACTGACATCAGGGTTGAGAGAAGACAGAGAAGGAGGGGAGGAATGATGTATACAATGGAGGCCATGCGCCGCTGTGAGAAGGAACCGTAAAGTGTTGTGTCCTTATTCCTGCTGGACAGGCAAGGCGCGCAACAGTATACTGCATTGAAACAGATGAGGGAGAGAACTGTTTAAAAGGGATATATGATTGGGTATTCTTGTCATGACAGGAATCCAGAGCGAAGGCTGTACAGTGGAGTGGACTTGGGGGGAGGGAATGCATAACGGTGAAAGAGTTTTTCTTTTACTTTGCAAGGAAAAAAGTGACTTGGGCTGGTGGGCAGGGAGAAAAGTGCAACAGTGAATGAATGGAAATCCTAAGTCTGTAAACTTTCATTAAAATTAATTTTTAAAAAAGTATGTTCTCTAAAAGGTAGTGATTAAAGTCAGATGCAAACTCTTACCACAAGTTAAACTCTTTATTTTTTAATACAAACGGATGGAGAATCAGTATGTATCAACATGTGGATTATTCTAGGAACCTGTTACATTTGAGGATGTCACGGTGGACTTCACAGAGGCCGAATGGGAGACACTGAGCTCTGAGCAGAAGAATCTGTACAAGGAAGTGATGCTGGAGATGTATGGGAATCTTCTCTCCTTGGGTAGGTATTTACTCTTTTGTCTTCCCTTTTTTCATTTGATGTGTGTTAACCACTACTAAGTATCAGAGGAGCCTTGGGGTTGCAGCGGGTAAGCACTGGGATGCAAACAGAAATATGGGCATTTCAGTCTGAGAGCCATTCCCCAGCGGACGGTGCAGTCCACGTCTGTAAAGATTTATGTCCTTGGCGAGCTATGGTGGCCTAGTGGCAAGAAACTGCACTGCAATCCCAGAGGTGCACGGTTCGAATCCACCAGATGCCCTGCTAGAGAAGAAGGGACAATCTCCTGTCAGATCTGATTTGATGCTACACACACAAAAATAATAATAATTAAAAAAAGAAAGATTTACATCCTTCACCTTTTCTATTCTGCAGTTGTACTCTGTCCAGTAGTGTTGCTAGGAGATGGAATGGACTCTCACAATTCCCCCCCCCTCTGTTTGCTAATGTTTCTCTGTGGTAAAAACCATTTGCACTCAAACATTACCACGGACATAAGTGGCTGAGTAGCAATCAATTGCATGCAAAGTTTCAACGTGAACAGCACCAGAGTTCAGAACGTCAGCACGCACGAAAGAGGGGAAACTTTGACGACGTGCTTTCTGACTGTGATCCTTAGCTGTAGTCTGAGGTTTTCAGTCTCAAGTTGTGCCTTTTCCCCTCCACATACACCGCTTACCTGTAAATGCAATATGAGAGTACAGTTTGGTCTTCACAAAGATTTATTGAGTGCACAAGAGAAGGGGAGGTGCCATGGAAACAGAGGATGGGTGGAGTAAAAGCTGGCAATATGAAAGAGGGTGGAGGTCTCCTGAACCTTCACCTCATAGGAATCAGCTTTTGGCTGCTTGTAATAATAATAAATAAGTAATAATTAAGA